TAATAGAGGGACTTTTCATTATAGTGAGTTAATCAATGTAAAGCCATTATTTGTTCATTTTCTAAGCAGGTTTAAAATAAAATAAGTGAGAGAAGTTTTTATTCTCACATATAAATATTCAGAATAAAATTTGCTTTATATATTTTATTTTATATGTTATATATTTACTTTATATATAAAACATTTTATTCTGAATATTTATAACATTGTATGTAAAATCCACACTGAAGTTTGTGGGAAAGTATTAATTATCCAACGATCAATCATACTGATATCATCATTAATATATGAATAACAAATAGTTCACCAGATTTTCTTTGCTATCCAACACTATTAATAAATCACTGAATAATAATTAAAATTAATCAACTAAAAGAAATAATTAAATTAATTAAAAATTTAATTAAATGGTTATGCTAATAATATATACTATAGAAACAATCATCATTATATTATTATGTGTACCATATACTAATATAATCAACATATTATTTATATATTATATTATGTTATTATTAATACATATTAATATATATTATAATATATATTTATACTAATTCTAAATCATTATTATTTATTATTAAAATTATAATTAATTTGTTTTAAACATTCTTAGTAGTATTTAATTTTCATACCTTTTGCACAAAAATGCAATAAACATAATGGACACGCTTTCCTTCACTGGCTATAAAAAGACAATGGACTATTTCAAAGATAGTAACCAAAAGTAGATGAAACATTAGGATGAAGTATCAGGACATAATCTAGTCTCAAAACATATGCTCTTATTATTTCTATCCTGAACATTTAGGGCAACAATATAATCTATTCACTTTGGAGTTTGATATCCAGGCCCTTGTGTCCCTTTTCCAGGAAGGTGGGAATCGACCATCTAACTACCAGCCCCACTGATAGAATGGAACTCACCTGTTGTCCGTCCCACAGATGCACGCGGTGAAATGGAATGAGGCTTGGGGAGCAGTGAGACTTGGACTGGAATACTGCCTCTGTCATTGGAAGCTACGTGACCATGTATGAGCTGCTTAATCACTTAAATTTTCTCCTTTGCAAAATGGAGACTTACCTACTTCTCAGGGTTGTGTTGAGGGTAAATGAAACCTTATAAAAAGGACTAACACAGAAAATCCCTCAGGTCTTCTGGTTTTTCCTAGATCCCCTTATGAGGTTATAAGGAAATTAGAATGCAAAGAGTAGGAACAATGTAATTGTTGAGTATGTGCATTAAAACAGTGAGCAGTAAAAGAGATCAAGAGGGTCTCAGCAGAAGAAAGCTTAGAGCAACTCATTGAGAAAAATGAGCACAGAATATGGATTCTAGTTTACTTTGTAAAAATTGAATGTGAGTAGATGCTTATTAAAAATAATACCTTTCAGTACATAAGTTACAAAACAATTTCCCAAAAGTTAACTTTCTTGATCCTCAAAACAATCAATATTTTATAGATAATAAAACTTCAACCCAAATGAAATCTATGTATTATAGTAAGTGATAAAGCTAAATGAGAACTTACTTCCAAATTCACTATCACATTCTGTCTTCTTAAGTTAAGAAATAACGTCAGAACATAATGTACCACAATTTGAATGCCACGTTAACAGAGATGGTTAATTACCCAGTAGAATCCTGGGGTTACACTTCCATAGTATAGCATTGTTGCTAGAAAGAGTCTGCAAGCTAGGCACTGCATTGCCCCTGTCTCCATGGGGCCTTATGACAATTTTGCATTAGAAACTAAGTAGAAATAATATGTGCCACTTCTGGGTCAAGGAAATCTGTGCCTGCCTGCTTGGAGAAGAGGACTTTGAAACCTGAGAGCATGGTGTAGGCACAAGATGAATGAATCCAAGGCCTCTGAGTCACCCCATGGAGAACAGCTACCTATAGACCAGGAGCCCTTGTGCTGCACTGGATGTCAAGTAAGAAATAAACTTCCAAGATAAGCCACTGAAATCCTGGAGTGTATTACAGCAGCTAATATTGCTCTGAATAAGTGTGAAATTGAAGAAATTTCATTTTTACAGTTTATCTCCTGTCATGAACATGTTATAAGCTGGAATTTAGCTAAAAAAATCTAGTTTTCAGTTATTTGAGGAAATAAGGAATGGATTGGCATGAGTTTTTAAAAAAAACACTGTTTAAATGTGAATTTAATTAATTATCTGATTTAATTTTACTTAGTTTGAAATATATATATGTAAAAAGTTCATGTGTAAATTACATTTCCAAGCCATCATACCATCTTAATTGTTTAAAAAAATTGTAAGACACAATCAAAGAAATAAAGTAGAACACAAAGTAGGCTGCCTGGATACCACATGATTAGAAAATCACCTGAATTTTTGAGTTTATATTTTCTCCTGATGAAATTAAGCTAGGCACATACACGCACATTTTTTACAATGTTGTGAAGTGAATTATTTTTAAGGGATTCCTTTCTCCCATAGCAATATGGAGCAAATGGCTGAGTCCTAAATAGTGTCTCCTACAGCTCTTAGTGCTAATACCTGAAGTACAATCTACTTGGATGTCCTGTATCTGGAAAGTGTTATTACCTTTTCTCTAAGAGAAAATACAAATGAGTAGAAAAATGGGCTTGATGACTTAAAATGTTATCATGACCAGAGGAAAAAAACTCAGATGCATAAATCATGTCTTTTATTTACTCCCAAGTGAATGAGCAACTCCAGTCCTCAGGTGTTCCATTAGCAATAATGATGTGAAATCTTAGACTAGCCTTTGGAACAGAGGCCATGTGTGTTAGATCCTAGAAAAGAAAACAAACACTGCTAACTGAATTATTTGGAGGAATCACAAACTACTTCTTTCCTCTCTTTATTGCCATTCAACAAAAAAGAAAAACTATTAACTACCTTTGGGGCTTCATAAATGCAATTGTCACCATAGTAACCAAAAGACCAAATAGCCACTGGTAGCCAAGAAAGTTGCATGAAATGGTTTGTATTAGGAAAGCAATTTTAACCTTGACATTGTTAAACTTAGAGAAAAACACTTATTTGAAACATGAAAGAGGGGGTTATCAGCCCTGAAGTGTTGTCACTTTATGCTAAATAACTCTCTGGGAAAGGTACCCATTGCTCTAGAGGCTGACTTCTGAAGATAAATCAGATCATTAGTCTCATAATGGTGGCCTAAGAAATTTCATAAGGTGTCTTCCTAGCTAGTAATAGTCAGTGGGCTCTTAATAGCATTTTCACAGTATCCATCTGCAAACGATAAAAAAATAATAATTGGATATCAGGTGTCTTGATTGTTCATTTAATGTCTGTCTTACTAAAGAGTATAAGGCTTATGAGGGCCGGAGCTGTTGCTATTTCACTCATCATATTATCTCTAGCACTATCACAGTTCAAGAAATATATGTTGAATAACTGTCTGAATTTATGCTTCTGAGATAATGTGCAATGAATCTTAGAATCATCTTACAGGCATGTTCCTAGTATCACAATAAGATTAGGTCATACTGAACGTGGAAACAATTGCCTGCTTTTACCACTGACTAAAGGAAAGACCAAATGAAGGAAAGAGTGACAGTAATCTCCCGAGTCTGTTCTTCTGTTCTTCGAGTGTATGAAAAAGAAAAGAAAGAGGAGACAGGGGAGGGAGAGGGGAGAAAGAAGTTTAGAAGAATAAAATTACTGAACATAAGAACTATGGGACTGGGTTTCCTCAGCCCTCGTTGCCAATTATTCTAACTGTAATGAGCAAATTCATCATATTTTTTTCTTATAAACAGTGCCAACCTGTTTACTAAATGTATGAAACCTGGTAATATCAGTTGTCTAACAGTCAGAATCAATGCTAAGGTTAATTTAAAAAAACCTGCTAGGAAAAGATATAGCAGTAATTAGAGATTCTTAAGAGCAACACTTATGTTCTAAGTGGATTTACATTTGTTCCCCTTGGTCAAAGACTGGGGTTTCGACATAATATAGTAGACTGGATCTCTTGATTTTTGAAACGAGCATGAGTGTTGCTAGACAATCGTGGTGCTCTCAGCATCAGTGATCTCTGGCCAGGGCCTCTGTGGATGCAGTATGTATGATATATAATAGAAGCAGGGTAAGATCATGGTTCAAAACTTAGGCACTGGTGGCAATGCTGGGTTCAAACCTGTCCTCTCCTTATTCATATTTTGGAAGCAATTTATCTAATGTCTCTCAAACTCATTTTTCTCATCGGTAAAATGGATATAATAATAGTTCCTAACTCTTGGAGTTAGTGATATAATTAAATGAGATCACCTGTACTAAGCACTTAGCAAAGTGGCCCATAATGAGCTCTGAATATACATTAGTACCCTTTCTATAAAAAATCTTCTTTTTATAAAATTGTAGACTCATTTTAAATGACTTAAACACAAAGTGGTTATAGTTGCCAGAAACCTCCTTAGTTCAGACTTTAAGTATTTTTAGATGAAAATCTTTGCTGTGGTCAAAGAACATGTTACAGTGCTACTTCTTGTTCCATCACATGAATACAATTTCTGTGCTCTGCTGCAATAGACTGACCTCTTTGTCTGCCTACTCTGCCTGCCTGGGATATGTGAACTATGCCAAGCCTTCTTACCTATGAATACTTCCTCACACTGCTCCCTTACATTTCTCTCCCACAACATATTTGAGACTGTTATCATAATACTTACAGATATTTTCCTCTCTTTCTTCCCTTTCAATAAGAATTAATTGTGCAGACTCAGGATTGAGAGTGAACGACATGCCTAAACACACACACATTCATTCACGACAATAATTCATGCAGTCTTTTCCAAAGCATGAAGGGCCTAAGCCTTCTTATAAATGTAAGATCAATCAAAAATTTTTTGAAGGTTCAAATAGTAATCTCATTCATTTTATAAATTTTTTTGGAGACAAAAGGAAGTATTATATGGGGTTTTCTTTTATCCTATTGGGTGGGCAGCTGGTCATTGAAAAGCCATTCATTGCTTAGTCCTGACATTGCCTCTCCCCATTGGGTCTCTCTAAGAGTCACATGCTCCAGGCTTCCTTGAAAAGAATCTTCTGAAGCCTCAGCATCTTATCTGAATCTCCTGAATCCCACTTAGAACTGTGTTGAGCTCTCACCCATCACGATGAGCAACAAATTCCTGGGCACCTGGAAACTTGTCTCCAGTGAACACTTTGATGATTATATGAAAGCTCTGGGTAAGAAATGCTCTTTGTTGTTCTGCTGAAAAGTCCGTTTTTAAGAAAACTACATGACATTTTCATCTAACACCTTTAACAGGAGACTGGGGAAGTTTGCACAGCCTGCAGTACAATCCTCTTTTAGGATTAATCTTTTGTTCTGTCATTCAGATAATTTATTTGCATTTTATTTGTGGTAATTTTTATAGACTTTAACTTAAATGGGAGAGCTACTTAAATGCATGGAACTCCCACTGATTTCAAAGGCAATTTCGTACCAAGAAATGCACTATTTTTGACATGCAAAATTTTGGTTGCAGACCCAAAGAAAAGAAAGCTTAAAAGCATGGTCAATCTGTTTTCCGGCTTTTCTGAGAGCTAGGTTTACAGCAATTTAGGTGCTCATAAAAGAAGGAATTGAATATATTGCAGATCCTAGAAAATCTCAATTTAAAATTTTAATTTTGATCTAAACAGGTTTTTCTCTCTACCTTTAGGTTGTTCTTTATTACACAATCACGTAGATACGGAGAGTTTGAAAAACAAAAATACTTCCTAAAATATTATGTTCATAGCCTAGGGAAGTTACTGAGAGAAAAAGAACTGGAGGTGTGGCAGTGAATTCAAACTCAATTTCACGAACGTCAGATGTTCCTGGAGTTGGAGGAGTGAATGGCGATGAAAATCCTAGTTACTAGTTACGACAACTTTATTTTATATGATTTCTAGAGTATGTCCCCTTAATATAACACAATAGATATGAAGAGTTTTGGGGAATCTTCAGAACTATATAAATATAACAATGAGTAATGCCAGTGACCTAAGGTTGCTGTACTTGTCAAAGTCTCTACTGCTTTACTTGGCTGTTAAGAAAGCTTGTATAAAACGTTCTATTTTAGGTAAAATGAGCAAAGTAATGTCATTGTTGCCTGGAACACTATGAGAACTTATGGGCATAAATTCATACTGGGAGATCTGTTAGATTTAAAGACTTCACTTTACAGCTGAGGAAGAAGCCAAGTAAGAGAAAGTCTCAGTGAAGGATTCTCTAATTTCATTGCTTTCCGATTTTAGTGTGCAAAAGGATATTTTGGGATTTGGTAAATATAAATTCTCAGACTCTGCCCCAGAGATTATGATTTAACTTGAAAAACATTGTCCTAAAATAGCAAAAGATTAATCAGAATTTGAAGAAAGAATATAGGGTATAGTTTATTGGCTATAACGCTTAACTTCTTATTTAGTATATAAAAGTTTGGGATCTTTTTAACCGGAAAAAGTATATCCAAGCATTAAGACGTCCTGGGAAACCAGTTTCTCTTTCATATATTTTTTATTTGACATTTTTCCTTTTCCATATATTTTATAGTCTTGGTGATAATAGTAATAAAGTTAAGAGTTTAATTTTGTTTTTGAAATATAGAAGTTTTCTTTTAAAATTATTTTATTTCTCTATGATCATTTGTAATAGATTTCAAAGCTAGATGGTTAGTTTTTTTCTACCAGCTAGATAAAGAAGCTACAAAATTTCAGAAGTGAGAGCCATATCAAAAATATGAGGGGAGTACTTCTCCACATCTATAATATAGTATTGAGAGAAAATATCATGGAACAATATGTATATGCTTTAGTCGCATTTTAAAAATATCTATAGTATTTGAATGTACAAACTAAAATCTCTATAATGATTTATGCAAATCTGTAACTAGTAATTTTCAATGGGGAGTAGGATTGGATATAATAAAAATGGATGACATGCATTATTTCAGCTGGAAACTTTTACTCTTGAAAATCTGCAGACATTACTTCTGTAACAACAAAACCTAAAATGTTTGGGTTCTGGGCATGTATTTCCATTGGGAGTGAAACATGGGAGGAGATCCCTAGTAATAAGTTATACTACCTGTCATCAACACACCTGGGGCACCGCCAAGCATAGGATGTGGCCACCACAGTCTCTTCAGGTATGCTGTCTTGGGCAACATAATTCTAACACTATCTTAATTTTCAGGTGTGGGGTTAGCCACCAGAAAACTGGGAAATTTGGCCAAACCCAGTGTGATCATCAGCAAGAAAGGAGATATTATAACTATACGAACTGAAAGTACCTTTAAAAATACAGAGGTCTCCTTCAAGCTAGGCCAGGAATTTGAAGAAACCACAGCTGACAATAGAAAGGCCAAGGTAATCTTTAATGTTTCTCTTCAAAGTTGGCCCAGTGGGCTGCTTGAGAAAGAGGAATATTCCTGCTAGTGTTTAAAAGGGTAGACTCTATTCTGATGAAAAGGAGTATACCTACTGAGACATCTATTACAAAAATGATTCGGTACTGAATGAACTGCTTCTTTGATCAGCAAATCTCAGGCAAGTCAATTGCATGACCTTTTCTTTGCAGAGCATCATAACCCTGGAGAGAGGATCACTGAATCAAGTGCAGAGATGGGATGGCAAAGAGACAACCATAAAGAGAAAGCTGGTGAATGGGAGAATGGTAGTGGTAAGAGTATTTTCACTTCTAAATACAGAAATAATGCTATATAAACAACTTGATTACATTATTTTCAAAGTACTCTTTGTTTTTTGGAATATCGATGGATAAAAATGACTAAGAATAAAGTAAGAGTTAATGTTTAAGTGATATTTAAACTATTACAGGCTCCTTTTCAAGTATTGACCCAAGATTTTAGAAATAAAAAAGCCCATTTGTTATTTTAAAAATAAAAACACCTAACAATAGCAGTAAAATTAAAGAAAGTTTAGGTAAATCTTACTAGTTTGGAGTCAGAGAAACTGAGTCTAAATTTTAAAAGCAAAATACAGTCTGCAAGGCTCATTTGTAGACTATTTGCAGATATCCAACCATTTTGCATTCAAGAGGCCATAGTAACTTAGAATAAACCATGTCAGTAAAGCAAGCTGAGCTCATTGGAGACTTCTGTTGGCAGATGAGAATGATAACAAAGGTTGCATGTGATGACCTTTGATGATTTTTTTTTAGGGTTAAGGCTTTATGTTCACTAATTAACACATACATTGAATGTAAATAGATTCATGTACTTTCAAATGTTTCTTTAGTACAGTAGTTCTTAGCCCTTGCTACGCAACAGGTTTACATGGGGGGTAAATACTCATATGGGGGCCCCCAAACAGATAATTGAATGTAAACCTCTTGGGGGAGGAGGAGCCATCACTATGTTTAAATATTCCCCAAGTAACACAAATATGTAGACAGTTTTGAAAAGCTCTATCTTAGATTTAAATGCAAGCGAATTATACATAAAAACTCACCACTTATAAAAATTCCTTTACAGTAACAGATCAACTTTTAAATTGTTTCTTCAATTCTGAATTAATTCTGAATATTAATAATTCTAAATTACTGGAGACTGACATACTAATATTTTATTATTTCTAAATTAATGAGTTTATTTTGAATTTCTATTTTTATTACAAATTTTCGGTTCTCTGGTTTGAACTTGAGATATTCAATTTACCTCTCTCTTTTTTAAGGAATGTAAAATGAAGGGTGTGGTGTGCACCAGAATCTATGAGAAGGTCTGAAAAATTTTTCCTCGCTGAAGTGGTTTTTGATCATTTAATAATGGAAACCAATTACTTCCATTGGCAAAACCTGAATACACTGAAACGTCTGTTTTTGCTTTTGTCTTTATATATCAGATAGGCAAAGGCCTAAACTGAGTATTAAGCTAAAATTCAATGTTATTTAAAGATTTTTAATGTGCATGCATGTCATTACTACATTAAAGCATATATATTGACTACCCGAACAGTTGATGATGTCATTTAATTAACTATAAAATTCTAACCTATGTTGTACTTTGTATACTTGAAATGAAAATTAAAAGGATATTATATGTCAGGAAAAGGAAATCAAAGTATTGATCAGGGTAGCAAGCTCAAATGCTGACAGGGGTCAGGAAAGTTATGGGGAAGGAGCATCAGAAATCAGGCAAGCTAGGAAAATGAGCTATTTTGAAGTAAAGAGTTGTAGTCTCAGCTAAAAGGGATAGCCATTACTCCAGCCAGCTTTTTAAAATTAAAGGATATTTTATAGATAGTTAAATGCACATGTATTTAGGGTAGAGTTCAATCCACTGTGACAAATGCATGCACCCATATAACTTACATCCCAATCAAGATACAAAACATTTTCTTAATCCTAGTACATTTCCTTCTGCTTCTTCCCAGTCAGTGTCCTCTTGGGCTCCACCCCTACCGAAAGCAAGTAGTGGTTTGGTTTCTATCACATAGATTCACTTTGCCTTTTCATATAAAGGGAATTATACATCATATATTCTTTTTGTTTGCTTTTGAAAACTTCAGCATAATGTTTTTGAGGTTCCTCCATATTGTTGCATGCAGCTGTAGTTTGTTTCTCTTTATTACCAAGTATTAGTCCATTGTATGAATGTCATAGAAGACGAAGGGTTGTAGAAATGTTTCAGATTAAATTATACTAAAACATCTGACAACTAATTATGGTAAGTGATACTAGACTTAATCCTGTATTAGAGGTAACATAAATGCTCCAAAGAACAATTGACCATATATATTCAATTGCTAAATTGGAATATATATGGTCAATCAGATAAGAAGTATGCTTTGATTAAGTAAAAGAATATCCCTATTCTTGGAAAAATATCACAGTTTTTCCATTCTATTATTAAGATAATGCTATTTCTAATTTTTGGCTGCTATGAATAAAGCTGCTACAAACATTTTTGTACGAGGCTTTTTGTAAATTTAGGAGTTCCTTTATTTTGAATAAATAACTAGTCATATAGGCATAGGTGCAGTAATATTTGACAGGCAAGAATGGGGACCATTGCATTGTGCTCAAGTAATAATAAAACTATTTCAGATGTATTATATGATTGAGCAAATGAGAAAACATGTTGATGTTGATGGGAGTCAGGATGTTCACTGTGGAAAAAGGAACATACAAATATGGAATGAGGGAAGGCAAGAAAGAACCATGTGAGAATGGAATAGAAGTAATATAAATTCATAATTTCTAAACCATGTATATGTACGTGTATATGTATTATAATTACATATACATGCACTTGATAATAGACATGTATTTATGTGTGTATGTGTGTGTATACACATGCATATATTTTCTAGTTCTCTGTCAAAAGGACTTAGACACAAAAACACCTTAGCAGAAATGAATATACCTAACACTCAGATCTTCATGTCTAAAATAATTTGCCACTAAAAGGAACCAGGTCTACTTGGAGAAATGGCTGATTCCAAAGCAAGGGCAAGGTAGAAAAAAGATGAGCCTGAAATATCTTGTTATGCCAAAAAGTAATATTAAAAAAAAATAGAGGTATATTGCCAAAACATAGAGCCAGCTTGAAGGGGCTCCCATTGGCCAAACTTGAGCCAATTTGAGAGCAAAATAATTGAAAAAAATAATAAATTATAAACCAATGAGTAAAAAACAGAAATTCATGAATCCATACTGATATAATAGATGACAGATGATAGGTAGATAAATAGATAGATAGATAGATGATAGATAAGATAGATGATAGATAGATAGATAGATAGATAGATAGATAGATAGATAGATAGATGATAAGGTTTCTCCTTTACAATAGAATGTCATGGGCCAGCTGGCCGATGTGAGTGGAATGAGTTCTGGAATTGGAAAACCATCATTTCTCAACCATCACAGTAAATATGGCTAAGGCAAGAATTATCAATGAATGCTAAAGCTAGGGGGAAATTTTGATTAGAAGCAGGATATCAGGATACTAATCTGGGCTTAAAGTATCTCCTCACAGATTGCTTGTTAGTTTCTGGGGAAAGAATAGTGACTGTGCGATGGAAAAAAAAAGACAACCTCTTGACTGGGTTATCAAAATTAATGTCAACAATAAAGGCTAATGTTCAACATGTGCCTTCAAATGTAACAAATTGAGAAGGAAACCACATCACTTATGGAGTATTCTGACCAGAAATCCATATCTGAATCTAATCATAAGAAAACATCGGGCAAACTTCAAATGAAGAATGTTTTGTTAGAAAAAAAAATACAGGGTGTTTTCACTGAATCTTTAAAAATATCAATGTCATAGAAGACGAAGGGTTGTAGAAATGTTTCAGATTAAATTATACTAAAACATCTGACAACTAAATATGGTAAGTGATACTAGACTTAATCCTGTATTAGAGGTAACATAAATGCTCCAAAGAACAATTGACCACATATATTCAATTGCTAAATTGGAATATATATGGTCAATCAGATAAGAAGTACGCTTTGATTAAGTAAAAGAATATCCCTATTCTTGGAAAATACACAAAGTATTTTGAGGTGTGGGCTACACTGTATGCAATCTTCCCTCAAAAATTCAGAAACATATATTTGTGTGCATTTGTGTGTATGATAGTACACACATACATACATAAAGAGAGAAAATAATAAAGCAAATGAGGTAAAATTTAACAATAGAGTAATCTGATATACATACATAGAGAGAGAAAGAGCAATTGATAAAGCAAATGAAGTAAAATTTAACAACAGAGTAATCTGAGTAAAGGGTATACGTGTTTTCTTTGAAATAATATGATTCTTGCAACTTTTTCTGTAAGTTGGAATTTATTTCCAAACATGATAAAAAAGAAATGAAACTTGGCAACTTCTTCTCTTTTTCAGCCTAGAAATGTCTGTGTTAAGTGGTTTTCTGTTTATTGTCATTATTTGTTGTTATTGCTGTTTTGTCTCCAAGCTCCAACCCATAAGAGTTTAAAAACTATGTAGCTATTTTTGGACATTTATAATAATACATTATAAAATGTATTCCTCAATAAATACAATTTCTCTATTATACAAAAATTATGAGTGCTTTTTATTTTTATAACAGAAAACGTCAAACTACACTGATAGGAAGGAAGACAAAATAATCATTTCAGCAAACCATTTAATTGTTAGGTTTGGAAAAGATTTTAAAACAACCATAAGAGAGGGAAAAATAAAACCAAACTTGATGTTTTTGCAAATTTAGGCTGCTGTTACAGCAAAACCAAATAAACTGAATAGCTAATAAACAACAGAAATCTGTTTCTCACAGTTCTGGAGTCTGGGAAGTCCAAGATCAACGTGTGGCAGATTCAGTGTCTACTGAGGGCTGGTTTTCTGGTCCATAGATGGCACGTTTGGCTGCATCCTCACTTGTTAGAAAGGGAAAATGAGGTTTCTTTGACTTCTTTTATAAGGACCCTGGTCCCGTTCATGAGGGCTCTACTCTCATTACCTAATCACCTTCCTAAAGGTCCTATCTCTTAATACCATCAACTTGTTAGGTTTGGATTTCAGCATATAAATTTAGGAGTACACAAACATTCAGACCATAGCACTTGAGTTCTGTAATATTCAAAAATAGAATCAGAGTATAGTTTTCCTTCTCTAATTCTTTTTGAATATAACACGGTTGTTAAAAACACAGTTAGAGGCAGGACTAGCTTGCGGCTCCTGCTCCGATGGACAGAGCAGTGGATAGACTTTTGCTTCAAAAACTACCACAGGAACATACCAGGAAAGCTGAGAGAATCCACAGACCCTTTGAAAGAATTGAACCACCACTGCAGGCTCCCTGAGAGACCAAAACACTGTGAGTCAGCTTGCTTTCTCAATGGCGTGGCTCATGGTCTGGGGCAAGTTTTCAGCCCTGGTCACAGACCAATATCCCTGATGAATATTAATGCAAAAATCCTTAACAAAATACTAGGGAGCCAAATCTAACAGCATATCAAAAAGCTAATCCACTATGATCAAGTGGGTTTCATACCAAGAATGCAGGATAGTTTAACATATGTAAGTCATGTGACATATGTGACATCTCACATAAAATTAAAAACAAAAATTACCTGATTATCTTAATAGACCCAGAAAAAGCATTTGACAAAATCCAGCATTCTTTTATGATAAAACCCTCAGCAAATGTGGCATATAAAGGACATACCTTAAGGTAATAAAAGCCATCTACGAGAAACTCACGGTCAACATTATACTGAATGGGGAATCATTGAAAGCATTCCCCCTGAGAACTGGAATAAGGTAAAGATCCCACTTTTACCACTTCTATTCAACATATTACTGGAAGTCCTAGCTAGATCAATAAGACAAGAGAAAGAAATAAAGGGCATCCAAATCGGGAAAGAGGAAGTCAAACAGTCACTGTTTGCTGATGATATGATTGTGTACTTCGAAAACCCTAAAGACTCATCCAAAATGATCTTAGAACTGTTAAATTAATTCAACAAAGTTTCAGGTTATAAAACTAAAGTACAAAAATCAGTAGTTGAGAATCAAATCAAGAACTCAACACCTTTAACAATAGCTGCAAAATAAATAAAACATTTGCAGATGTTTTGGAATATACTTAACCAAGGATGTGAAAGACCTCCACAAATTAAACTATAAAACACTGCTGAAAGAAATCATAGATAACACAAACAAATGGAAACATATCCCATGCTCATGGATGAATATTATCAATACTGTGAAAATGACAATACCGACAAAAGCAATCTACAAATTCAATGCAATTTGCATCAAAATACTGCCATCATTCTTCACAGAACTAGAAAACAATCATAAAACTCATATGGAACCAAAAAAGAGCCCACACAGGGAAAACAAGACTAAGCAAAAAGAACATATCTGGAGACATCACATTACCCGACTTCAAACTATGTTATAAGGCAATAGTCACAAAACAACATGGTACTGGTATAAAAATAGGCACATAGT